TCTTTTGATCAGTGCCTAGACCATTTAACAAAGGTTTTGAAAAGATGCATTGAAACAAACTTGGTTCTTAATTATGAAAAATGTCATTTCATGGTTAAGGAAGGCATAGTTTTGGGCCATGTTGTTTCATCAAGGGGTATTGAGGTAGATAAGGCTAAAATTGATTTGATCACTAGTCTACCTTACCCTACTAATGTCAAGGATATTCGTAGTTTTCTAGGCCATGCAGGTTTTTACAGGCGTTTCATAAAAGATTTTTCAAAAATTGCTCAACCATTGTCTCGCCTGCTTCAAAAGGAGGTGCCATTCAACTTTGGAGATGATTGCAAATTGTCCTTTGACACACTCAAGGGTATGTTGACCACGGCACCAATTATCCAACCCCCAAACTGGAAGCTATCCTTTGAGCTCATGTGTGACGCCAGTCAGTATGCTGTAGGAGCTGTGCTTGGACAGCGGAGTGGGAGGTGTAGTCACGTGATATACTATGCGTCAAAAACATTGACACCAGCTCAATGCAACTACACCACCACGGAGAAGGAGCTTCTAGCCATTGTTTTCGCTTTTGAGAAATTTAGATCATATCTATTGGGGTCAAAAGTAACGGTTTACTCTGATCATGCAGCTTTGAAGTATCTCTTGTCAAAAAAGGAGTCCAAGCCAAGACTCATTCGTTGGGTGCTCTTGTTGCAAGAATTTGACTGGGAGATCAAGGATCGGAGAGGGGTGGATAATTCAGTAGCTGACCATTTGAGCAGGTTGATAAGAGAAGAGGAAGCAGTTCCCATATCTGAGGTATTTCCTGATGAACATCTTTTCTATCTCAAAGGTAAGGAACCTTGGTATGCAGATATTGTGAACTTTTTGGTCAGTCATAAATTCCCTATTGGCATGAGTAAGAGTAAGAGAGATAAGATAGTCCATGATTCTCGATACTATATTTGGGATGAACCATATCTGTGGAAAATAGGCTCTGATCAAATTATTCGTAGATGTGTACCTGAAAGTGAAACTCCTTCTATCCTTGCTCATTGTCATAATTATGCATGTGGTGGCCATTTTGGACCTAAGAGAACTGCTAGAAAAATCCTTGATTGTGGCTTTTATTGGGAAACATTGTTTCGTGATGCTTATGCATTTTGTAAAAGCTGTGAAAAATGTCAAAAATTTGGAAGTTTGTCTCATAGGGATGAAATGCCTCAAGTGCCTATGTTATTTTGTGAAGTGTTTGATGTTTGGGGTATGGACTTTATGGGACCTTTTCCTAGCTCTTTTGGATTTTTGTATATTCTGTTAGTAGTTGACTATGTATCGAAATGGGTAGAAGCAAAGGCTACCCGGACTAATGATTCTCAAGTTGTTGTAGGATTTCTCAAATCCCACATTTTTAGTAGGTTCGGGGTGCCGAGAGCCATCATAAGTGATCAAGGTACCCATTTCTGCAATCGCACCATTGCAGCTCTCATGGGAAAATATGGAGTGCACCATCGTGTGAGTACAACATATCATCCTCAGACCAATGGGCAAGCTGAAGTCTCCAATCGAGAGATCAAGAGCGTATTGGAGAAAACGGTTAACCCCAACCGTAAGGATTGGAGCTTGCGATTGGATGATGCTTTGTGGGCATATCGAACCGCGTATAAAACGCCCATTGGAATGTCTCCATATAGGTTGGTGTTTGGTAAGATGTGTCATTTACCTGTGGCTATTGAGCATCGTGCATTCTGGGCAGTCAAGCAATGCAATTTCCATGCGGATAGAGATGGCAATGAGAGAAAACTCCAACTCCAGGAGTTGGAGGAAATTCGTCTTGAAGCATATGACAATGCACGTTTGTACAAAGAGCGTACCAAGCAGTTTCATGACCGTTTATTGCGTGCGAAACACTTTTTCCCAGGACAAAAGGTACTCTTGTTCAATTCACGGTTGAAATTCATGCCAGGTAAGTTAAAATCTCGTTGGATTGGACCATATGTGGTAGTCAATGTTTTTCCCAATGGTGTGGTTGAAATCCAGAGTTTAGAGACTAATAAGAGTTTTACAGTTAATGGTCATCGTTTAAAATCGTTTGTTGATATTTCAGACATTGGCACTTTGGAAGAGGTACACTTGATAGATCCTATCTATGCCTAATTGCTCACTGTGGAGTCGTCTAGCCAAAGACGTTAAAGAAAGGCGCTTCTTGGGAGGCAACCCAAGGCCTCCATTTTTTGTTATAGTTCTCTTTCGTTTTTCGTTGATTTTGGGTTGTTTTGTTTCATTGCAAGTGTTGTTTTTGGTGTTGGGCAGGAGACTTGGATTTACAAGGCATGCCCACGCCCTATAAGTGACTCCATGAAAAGCGTAGAAATGCTTGGGCAGAAGACTCTGCCTTATAAGGCGTGGGCACGCCTTACAGCAACTCTGGTCCACTCTGGGGACACAGGCTTGGATTGAAGACTTCCGCTTCCATCTGAAGCAACGCTACACCACACTACCGTCGGAGGCTCCACGCTGCCAGTCCCTGACACCTCCTCTACCATGGTGTTTTGCTGCAGTTTTTATTCATTCAGGGAAGTTTTTTGCTCCCTTCACTTGACTTCAACTTTTCGTTCTTACATTGAGGACAATGTAGACTTTAGGTGTGGGGGGAGTAGTCTAGCTTTTCCTTCTTACTGCTTTTCCTTCTTCCCAAAAAAAAAAACAAAACAAAACAAAACAAAACAAAACCTTTACCTTACCTTTTGGGATTTTTATGGTTAGCCCTGATAAGCAATGGCTTGATTTTCAAATTTAACTATTGTTATGGTTTTAGATGATAATATGTTAAGTATGATATGGTAAAATTTTAGGATGACTCTCTGGTAAATATTTGAGACTTTGTGACTCTTGCAATTTCTTTTGGTTAACTTTTATAGGCATTGTAAATATTTTTCTGACATTTTTGTGTGAACTGGTTCAACTATTAATCTTAGTTCTCCATGTTAAGGAAATGAAGCAGGCTTGCATGGTTTTAATTTTACTTGGGTGTTTATTTGTGAATAACATTCGGCTATACTCCGCTGGTTATCATTGACTAGTAACCGGGGGTCTTCACCTAAAGTGTCGATTTTCGCGTCAAAAAGCAGCGATAACTATGAGTATGTGGTTTTTAAGCGGTTTAAGTTGAGTAACCGAGCTCCTTCATTGAAGAGATGTCGGAGTTCGCGTCAAAAGACTTGAATGGCTCAAGACTAAGCACTTCCTTCAAGAAAAAAAAAAAAGGAAAAAAAAAGAAAAAAAATGAAAATGATGAAAAATGAAAAAAAAAAGTATACGAGCATGAAAGTATGCGAATAATTGTATTGCCTGCGGATCCATGAGTCTTTATGTTGAGATTTTGCTTAGTGGTTGGACCAGTTATTAAAGAATGTTGGTTGGATATTTTCTATTCTTAGATTGGTTAGTCTGGATTTGAAAGAGTCATTGGTTTTAAAAGTTAGTTGGAGAGTTATCTCGTAAAATTTGTCATCAGTACTTTACAGTTATCTAAATCATACATTGGCAATAGTTGCTTTGATTAATAGCCATTGTTTTGAATTCAACTGCTGCAAAATGTTTGCTCGCTTGGTTGTGTATTTAAAGTTTGAAATGCTTAAGGACAAGCATTGTCTTGGTGTGGGGGAATTTGATAGGGATATAATTATGCATTTTATTTGTGGTTATTTGGTCTTAATTTTGGCAATTTATTATGCAAAGTATTGAATTTCTGCTCATAATTGGTATTTGTGTTAATTACAGGCAATTGGTGATAAAAGTGATAAAAAAGGGCAAATTCCAGAAGACTAGGTCTTCTCTGGCGTGCCCACGCCAGACAACACAGAGTTGCGTGAAAAAGCCGGATCGCGGGCCCAAGCCCTGGAACAACCATTCTGATTGGAAGATACTTTTTTACCATACGTGGGATCAGGAAGCTTTTCCAAAGAGGATTTTTGGCAACAATCCAATGAGGGAAATAAGGAAACAATCCTTGTGGGAAACAAATTCCAATTCAACAAGCAAAGGGAAGCGGCAGCAACACTATAAATAAAAAGGCAGCAATAGACTAGGGCATCTTCTGTCTTGGACTTCTCTCTTTGTTCTTTTCTTCTTTTTCCTTTTGAACGCAAGTAGCAAATAGGAGCCGACATCTTTTACTACTCCCGGAATCGACGAAAACTCCATGAAAACTCTGAATTGCTTCAAGATTATGCGGCAAGGCTAGTTCGTTTATCTAGTTGAGGAATAAATCAAGGATTGGAGCACCATAACTGTGAGATCGTTTTAATTGTTTTATTTTTAATTTATATGTTCATGGGTATTTAATTATTCTCTATTTTTCCCTGAGTTATTATTGTTTAGATTTATTGGATAATTAGGCCTGTTATTCGATTGTCTAAATAATTGATAGCCAATTAGGATGTTGGCGCGTCGCCTTTAAGCATCGTGATTAGTGGCAAACGAGACAATTTCACCGCCTCGCAAGCGGTTTAATTTGGATCGTGGGGATAATTAATCTAGCCTAAATAAACCCGCATGTGTGTTTGTCATCTAGAATTGGGTCTTTCTAATTCCCAATGCTGTGGCTACATTAAATCCTGTGAGCGTTTCTGGGGTTGTCTAGTCACAAGAGGGTAGTTTATGAGCGTCTCTTGACTACCATAGAATTAAGGAAAGATTGGTGGTTGGGCGCGTCGCTTGACCACTATAACCAGTTTATTCGTGAGTATATGAATTGTCCCGTGTATCTGTGATCAGTTGTGTGCTTCGGTGCCAAGATTAATTCCTTGACTAGATTGTATTGATTAATTGTTATTTGTGTGATTTGGTTCCTGCTATCTTACTCAACTTTAAATTTCAGTTTTTATTCCTTTTTAATTAGTTGGTACTACTGCTAAAAATTCCCCCCATTTTCCTGTGTGATTTACCTACCTGTTCCCTGAGGAGACGACCCTACTCACCACTATACTCATTCAGTTTTGGTAGTAGGTCTAATATAAATTTTATTTTTGGTGGTTTGACACCCACCATTTCTCTATCTCAGATTTTTGCATATGGGGATATCTATAGGGGGCTAGTTTAAAGGGTTTAGAATCAGGAATTAGTGTAATATGATGATCAAATTCTCTGGAGGGCGGTAAGGAGTGGGGTTCTTCAAACACATCATCAAATTGAGTCAAGAGAGTAGTAATGGCCTCAGGAATTACCTGATGATTGTTAGCTGCCTCACTGCCAGTACTCAGTAGAAAGGTGCGTGGATCATAAAGTTGCCTCCTATGCCTGTTATGGATCCGGGATGCTCTGTCCCCCTTATGCAATTTCACACCAGCAGTCTCTGAATCTCCCTGCAGGGTAACCAACTCTTGTTCCTTGTCAAAGACTAATTGTAATTTCTTGAAATCAAAAGTAAGAGGGCTGTATGCTTTCATCCAATCAACGCCAATGATCATATCATAAGGCTCTATATCCAGTATGTAAAAATCATGTGAGAATTTATGGCCCTGCATTACCCATTGCAACTGTGGTATCCGTTTATTACACAATAAACTCTCTCCATTAGCTACTTTCACTTTAAAGGGCTTAATTTTCCTGATCAATTCAGGATGCTGAAAGGCTACTGAAGCCTTAATAAAACTATGGGAACTGCCCCCATCTACTAGGATTGAAACCTTACTGCCCAACCAGTCTCCTTGCACCTTGATGGTGTTCTGCACCATAGTTCCAGAAATGGAGTGTAGGGTGAGTTCAACATGATTTTCAGTTTTCCTTCCTTGATATTCAATCTCTTCCTCAATCATTTCCTTCTCTACTGCCTCAACAACCTCATCCACCACCAGCATGTGCACCTCCTTATTCCCACACTTATGATTAGGAGTGTACTTCTCGCCACATCTGAAGCATAACCCTTTTGCCCTCCTATGTTGAATCTCTGTTGGGGTGATTTTCTTAAAAGTAAATGGTTCCAATTTCCTGTTTGGGTCACCCGATAGAGTAGATGCTCCACCGCCTTTGAAATTCCCTCCCCCACTGCTCATTGATGGGAAAGTAGCAATTTTGCTACTGGGCCTATACTTCTTGGCGTAAGCCTCATTTGCAGATTCTTGGAGTTTAGCTTTTTTAAAGACTTCACTCAAGGAACCTATGTCGTGCATCTTTACCATCGACCTGATCTCATCGTTCAATCCGCTGAGAAAACATGAAATGTAAAAAGATTCTGGAAGGGATGGTGCCACAATCACCACTTCGGCCATCAATTCCTCAAACTTTTCCTGATATGCTTGGACGGTGGAAGTTTGTTGCAGCTTGCTAAATTCTTCCACAGGATCCAATTGCTTCACGTTCCCGAACCGTTTAATGAGTTCTGCAGTAAAATTTTCCCAATTGGTCACTCCCCTGCTGATTTTGAACCCCTGATACCAAATGTCTGCCTTTCCTTCCAAGAATATCTCCACCATATCCATCTTCTGAGAATCAGGAATATGGAATGTATGGAAATATTTTTGACTTTTTCGGATCCATTCCCTCGGGTTTCCTCCATCAAAGACTGGGAATTCCATCCTTGGAATGGCCAATTGCAAAAACTGCCTATTTCCTCCGGAATTTTCTTTGGTACGCCCCAAGTGATTTTGTCTGTCCGAATGCCCTGTAGGTGTTTGCAAAATTCCTCTATCACCTTGAACCGTCCTCATCGCAGCTCCGTATTGATTGGATAGAGCTACAATTAAGTTCTTCAATTCATTGTTGGAAGATTCGATTTTCTCTTCCAAATGTTGCCGATCAGCCGCCATCGCGTCCCTCAATTGCTTCTCCGTCGCTGTCCAGCTGTCCATTATTCCTTGGGTTCTAATTTCCTGTCTTTTAAGCTGCTCCTCTAGACCTTTCAATCTGGTTCCTTCCGCCATGGTGGAACTACCTACCTCAGATAGGCCGAGGAAAGGTAGCTCTGATACCACCCTGTAATGTCTCGGGGAGAGGGTTGAAGAAATAGAAAAGGGAGAAGAAGAAATTGGGGAGAGAAAAGAGAGAATTTTATTGAGAGGATGAGAATTGTTTACAACAAAAATCAACTCCCCGTCACTTCTCTGATTTCCCTTATTTATACAAAGCAAATGGCGGTTACTAACGAGATTCTCCATATCTATACAATTGTTTACGTGGAAACACTCCCTGACTGACCACCGACTCAACAATTTTGTAATGTTTACTAATTGGGATATTACACCATGTCAGGTTAAGCTGAGTTGGCAGGTCTCGGGGACATGGCGGAGAATGTTTGGTGTCAGTCGGCAAGTGGAGTTGTCTATGGTCTGGCTGATCCAGGAGGGAACTTGTCATTTTTGGTATAATAACTGGCTGGAAACTGGTGCATTGTTTCTTAAAACCACAGTGCATCCAACCCTCTCTTTCAAAGATTTCATTACAAATGGGAAGTGAGATGCAAGTTTGCTCTCCCGAGTCATTACTCTTGACATTCTCCCTTCGGTTTTACATCATCCAGTTCCCCAGCATGGGCGGGCGGATGACGTCATTTGGAGCTTGTCTTCATCTGGCAAATTCTCTCTATCATCGGCATTCGAGGAGATACGACAAGGCCGAATCTCCTCGTTTGTTCTATCTCACATCTGGCATTGTCGTATTCCGACAAAGGTATCTTTCTTCATGCTGCGCTTGTTGATCGAACGACTGCCAATCCCAGACGTCTTTGGTAAGATGGGATTTCATATGCCTTCCAAATGTTTCTGCTGTCATAATGGAGCAAATGAGACATTGGAGCATCTCTTCTCGAAGGGACAGATCGCGATGGAGGTATGATCCTATTTTACTAGCTTAAGTGGGCTCCAGACTGTCGTGTCAACTTTGCGGGCTCGGGTAGTGGCTTGGTGGATGGTGGGTCCGAGAGTTGAGAAAAGACGCACACTCTTTAGGATTTTGCCTTGTTATATTTGTTGGCACATATAGAAGGCAAGGAACCAAGCAGTATTTGAGGGGACTCGGATGTGCGCGGTTACTATCCAACAAGCCATTATGTCAGACGTTGCGGCAGAACTGGAAATTCACTTTAATCATAGGCTGGGAAGGGTCACGTTTCCCCAGCTATATGACTGGTCGGGTCAACAAGAGAGCGGCGTCAGCTATCAAATTGTACGGTGGCAGGCAAAGAAACTGGGAGATTTAACGCTAAATATGGATGGGTGTTCCAAAGTCAACCCAGGTTGGAGTGGTGGGGGAGGCATATTGCGGGATTCTTCAGGCAGCCCGGTATTCGCTTACTCGGCATTCTTTGGGAGAAGATCCATTTTGCACGCGGAAGCTCTGGTAATGCTAACGGGGCTGCAGCTATGCGTAGAGAAGGGTTTCAGCAGTTTTGACGTCCAATCGAATTCTCAGGTATTAGTGGGAATTGTACAACGCCGCTTTCGATGCCCGTGGCAGATTCGTCGACAAATAGAGCAGATCTGGCAAATGGTGGGAGATGTGACATGGGTTTCTCATTGTTTCCGAGAGGCTAATTGTGTGGCAGACATTCTGGCTAACGAGGGTGTTTATCATCAATAACGTGCCTGTACTATCTATGAGCATATCCACAGTTATCCAAAACTAGCTAGGAGGGAATCCTGCCTGGATAGGCTAGGCATGTCAGCTGTTAGAAGGACATCAAGGGGGGGAGATTGACCGCTGATATTCAAAGATCATCCTTCACATTGACTGGAAAAGCTGAAGTTGAAAAGGGAAAATTTAATCTTAATTTCAGATCTTAAATGCTTAAAATTTTCACTATGATGTAAATTTGTTGTTGAATTGTGGGTTGCTGGTAGGGAGTTTCGTCCCTTTTTATGGGGAAACTTTGCCGAAATTTTTATAAAAAAAAGTAGAAAAACAACTAAAATTTTTAATATCTAAAAAATTATTAGGCAATAGTGTTAATACTATAAAATTTTGTAACATCTAAAAATTATTAGGCTATAATTCTATGAAATACTTAAAAAGTATAAAAATCAAAACTAATATTTGTTATCCAATTATTTGATTAATAACGTTTTTGAGAATAGGGTAAAAAGTACCAAATCTTTTTATCTTAAAAATTATTCTACCACCTAATGCACAATGTCAGATTTGAACTCCTGATCATGTGCATTCCCTAGGACCAAAGCCCAGTGGTTTCTTAGATTGGGAAAAATGTACTTTTCATCCTCAAAGTTTGGGCTGTTGACTAATTTCATTTTCAAAGTTTCACCCAAAACACATTTCATCCTCAAAGTTACGTAATTTTGGCCAATTAAGGACAATTGACGGGAAATGAAGAAATTGGTGTTAGACCCAACTGTAAACCCAAAAAAAAATGGATTTAACCGAATGGAGCAATTTTTTAACGGAACAAAAATTGTTGCAACGGACAAAAACCAACATTCTTCTCCTTCTTCCCTCTGCCTTTTTGCAACCCCAAAATTTTTTTCCCAATCTCTGGATTTCTTAGGCGCTTGCAAATGCCAAATCCAGTTTTAGGGCTCATTTACTTGGTGGAGGTTGATTTCCACCACATCCCCATCCCTAACGCCCACCTTGGTTTCTTCCTCCTCCACCTCCCTATCCCCAACCGTCTCCTTCACCCCCTCCACCACCACCACCACCTCCTCCTCCTCCACTACTGCCACCGTCACCACCACCACTCCCACTTCCCCAACCATGGCCTCCACCATTTCCACCACCACCGCCTCCTCCTCCACCCCCACCCCCACCCGCACCTCCACGTCCATCTCCACCGCCACCACTGCCAGCACCTCTGCCACCACTATCTCTCCTTCTACCGCATGTATGTTTTCCTCTCATTTTCCTCCTTCCACCACCTCTCTCTCCACCTCCACTAGCACTTCCACCGCCTCCACCTCCACCTCCACTGCCACCACCACCACCGTTGCCACCACCCCCTCCTTCTCCTCCACTACCTCCATAGTGCGCAACCTGATTGCCATTTACTTCCAGAACTCGTACCGTTATGGTGATCAATCACATTCCCATCCTTTGCATGTTGACCATTTCCACTCTCACTTCCCCAACCACCGCTTCCTCCCCCACCCCAAAACAATAGATGGGTGGGTGGAGAGATTGTGAAATATGGATATGATATCGAGCTTAGCCTGCACGCTTAGATTCTGGAAACCGCGTTCTTCTGCCAATTGGAAATTCAGAGATCCAACCAGGATTCGGACAGCCCCAGATGCTGCGATTGCTAACTTGTTAGCGGAGCAAGAAGAAAGAACCAAGAGGGCTGCTGCTGCAAGCTCAATCAATGACTCTTTTTGGCAGTGAATGATCTCCAACAATACTGGTATGGCACCAGAATTTGCAATTCGGATCTTGTTTCTGCAAAATCATAGCAAAATTAGATGGGGAACAATTCTACAGCCAATGCCTTCGGATGCAATTTCAAAAATTGCAAATTTTAACTGATGCAAACAATACCTTTCATTGTGAAAAGCTAGACAAAGCAGAGCAGAGTGCCGCTTCAGTGGCTTCACAAACTTGCTTACGAAGCATCGTAACGAGCCGAGAAATGATCCCTCTTTCCGCTAACTTCTGTCTTAGTTTGGTTGCAAGTTTACCAAGTTCTCTGGCAGCTAAAATCTGAGCTTCCCGTTCATTAGATAGAAGGGCTTCCACTATCACATCTTCCATGGTTGGAAGCCCTCTATCCCCCTCAGTCACTTCTCAACTCTCTTTATGTGAATTTGAAAGTATAGAAATTTAGTATTTGATTGCTTCAAGGTGGTGTAAGGTTTGGCTTTTGGGAAAAAAATTTTGGGATTGCAGAAAGGCAGAGGGAAGAAGGAGAAGAATGTTGGTTTTGGTCCGTTGCAACAATTTTTGTTCCGTTAAAAAAAGGCTTCATTCGGTTTAACCCATTTTTTGTTGGGTTTACAGTTGGGTCTAATGCCAATTTCTCTATTTCCCGTCAATTATCCTTAATTGACCAAAATTACATAACTTTGAGGATGAAATGTGTTTTGGGTGAAACTTTGAGGATGAAATTGGTCAACAGTCCAAACTTTAAGGATGAAAAGTGCATTTTTCCCTTCTTAGATTTTATTCACCAAAGTAAAACATGAACCGATGCATTCTGCTCCAGCCAGTCAAACGCACTCCCACTTAAGGATATGAATTAGTATAGCTGCAAAAGGATAGTCTTTCGAACAATCGTCTAGTTCAAGCAAACTTGTAGAACCAAAAGATGCTCGAATCCGAGTTCAAATAGCGTCCTGGAGCACAGCGTTATGTGTGGTCACACGTAGAAGTATGGGACCTTAAACTCAATCTTGGAAAATCAAAACTGAAGCATTCAAGTGGGATTGACTTAGTGAGAGAACCTCGACTGCACTCCTTGGTAGACATGGCCATGGTCCACAATCGCTAGTTGTGATTTTAAAATCCAGTTCTGGTTCTTCTAAAAGATGGAAATGGGACTGTTACAATTATTGAACCTCCAGTTCCGATTTTCTTTCAATTACGGTTCTAATTCTTTTAATTCTTAAACACTTGTTATAAAATTGATTCTAAGTAAATATGACAATGAATGTTTTATTGTATTATCATGTGTAAGGAAAAAGAAAATTTGACACAAATTTTATGAAAAAAAAAATCTCATTGTTCATTAAATTAGATTGATCTTAGATTTAGATTAGTTATATAGTATAAACTTACTAATAGAATAGGACAATGGGTTGTTGGGTTAGAATTGAAACTATTGGCATTTAAGTCCCGATTATTGATATTGAACTCTAAACTAGTCAAATAAATTTATGTGATAAATATTTTTTTAGACGGTTTGAATGAATTTTAAACCACCGATTTTGGTTCCAATTTAAAATTTTGGTGAATCTAAACTTGAATATTTAGTCACAATTGT